AACACGTGATATGTGCAGTAACTCACATATTGAAAATAGCTTACAGCAGGCTTGCTGGATCCTGAGTGCTCCCCTCAAGGCCTAAAGGGAAAAACTGTCCTGGAAAGACTTACCGTTTATTCTTTAAATGTTTTTTGAATAGCATGTGCATCTGCTCACGCATTTGCAAACTATAGGCCCTGCTTTCTCTCGAGCACAAGAGAACCCATTGAAAAACTTCCTGCCACACTGAAACAAAATGTGTAGCTCACACTTCTAATGCTAGTGATGTCTTGTAAATTTAAGCCACATTACTCACGTAGAAATTCCAGCTGTTAAAACACAGATAATGGAAAGCCAGTGGAAGCACTGGCCAACATTCTCAATAAGGTTAAACACCAACGTTACGTATTCCTTGAACCATAAGCGCAGTTGCTTTGGGGTCATTGACAGTGTCACCGTGCCTCAAGTTTTCTGGTTGGTTTGGTTGCTGAATTCTACTTCATGGAAGAAAATGATATTACTCACTTTCTAGTATTTTATTGGATTGTGCACTAAATTAAACACTGCATTTAAGATTATAGTGAACTCTCAAGATAATGGGAGGAACTACTTAATTTGAAGTCAGCCTGATCTGTGCAGAACAAAGCTATAGAAGTTTGGAATTTGCCTGCATTGTGTTACAACATCAGCATTATCCAGTCTAGGATAATTTTTTTCTTTTTACCTCTTCTCAACAATTTCAACATCTCTGTTGTATGAAATTGCAAAAATAATATATTGAGTCCTGAGGAACTAAGATGAATTGAACCAATGTATCGTTCTGTCATATGTGGCTTAACAAGGTAAAGAAAGCTTCCGCTCTAAAAGCATGAAACAAAATATCAGGTAAATTATTAAAAACTACTGTCAAGTCAGTTATTTGATAAGAATTCAGAACTCAGTCTTTACTCCCAGCTCAGTGTTGCAGTTTCATGACCACACACCGCAGTATCAAAAGATATTCAGTAAAAAATAAAAATAAAAATAAATCAGTCATGTGGGACAGGGAAGCCTGAACTAAAAAATGATTATACCTTCATGTCACACCTCCCTATTACTTCAAATTACATATTGTCATTAATAAGGTCATGGTGGAGAGGGTGCCTGAGTGGCTCAGTAGGTTAAGGGTCTCAGTTCAGCTCAGGTCACCATCTCACATTTCTTGAATTCAAAGCCCACATCGGGCTCTCTGCTGTCAGCACAGAGCCCGCTTTTGATCCTCTGTCTCCCCTCCACCCTGTCCCTGCTCTACTCATGCTCGTTCTCTCTCTCTTTCTCAAAAATAAACCAACATTATAAAAAATAATAATAGGGTCATTGGGAATAAAACAAATACCATTATTCTTAAGTATTTGATTTTACTTTTAATAAATGCAATGGAATATTCAATTATGTTATATTTATCCTAACCCTTAATACATTAGTACTGGCAAGAATTCATCATAAATCATAAAGGTATATATGTAAGTGTATTATCTTCATTAAATAGTAGCTGGGGAAATAAAGAATATATCTTTTCTTTAGTTTTTTGAACAATGTAATAGTTTTACTAAACCAATAGCAATCAAAATACGGTGAAAAAATAGGACCATGATGTTTCTATATGAGTAGCCCTCAGAAACCATATACAATATAGGACAGCATAATAACCTGTGCATATTATCTAGTTTTGAATCAATATACCTATATACAGCAGTTCTGTGAGTTCTTTTAGATATAAAAGAAAATAAGCATGGGCAAAAAAATGTTTCTAGAAAAGTGGTATTTTTTCAAACATCATGAACAGTTGTTCATTTATTTGATACAGGGGATTGGAGATTAACATCACATGAGCAATTTCCTCAAGAAAACCCTGCAATCCAGTAGGAAGGAGAGTTAAACACATAGACAATTATAATACAGAAAAATACATGGTATAAAAGAGGGATTCATATGATGCTTGCAGGGACACAAAAAGGAAAAGGAAGAGATTTGACAGCAGTCAAAGAGATCAGATCAGGATTCCCAGGGGTCATAAAGTCTCTGCTGAATTTTTAATATTATATGGGCATTATTACCCAGAACACATTGAGGAACCTGGGAAAGAGATATTCAGAAACCTGCCAGTAGTTCAGAATGGCAGGTACCCACACCGTGAGAGCAGTTACAGAACCTTCAAGTGTTCAAAACAGCTCTTCATTCGCTTGTTACAAATATTATAGTCTTCAAAATGCACATTTCAGTAGTTTTAAAATTTAAGAAGTATCGTGCTCTACAATCCAATTTGTCATTGTCTTTTAGTTTTACATTATTTGACTCCTGGAGTATTGTTAACCAAGTGCTATGTATGGAAGAAATGACTATGTCCTCTAAAGATTTGGACCTTCCTTCTCTCTGTACATAAAGATAATGGTGTTTGTCCAAAGCAAAGGTCTTCCAGGAGTATATCGGGTTTTTTTTTCTTTTTATTCACTAGTGGGCTAAACAATTAGAAACTAAAGAGTACATGCGAGTACATGCATTTTTTAAATTAAAATGATACGTCTGTCCCTTAAACTATTCAAAAATATGCATTTTTAATAGTGATGTAAAAGCAGGCAAAAAGTTTTAACTTATTTTACAGTGACTATATGTTGATATAGTCTTAGCCATTAATCATAAAATGAGATACATATTTGAAATCTTCTGCATAAAAGAGGAAGCAATCTGTCAAGGTACATCCAACTTTGGACATAAGGCATACAAATATTTGAGTGTCCAGCACTCATTTGTTCTCAGGTTTAAATTTGAGGTTTTGTAAAAGAGTATGTCCTTTTACAGACTCACATCGAATGAAAAATTCCACATGAGCCTGGGTTCCACTTAGTTGTTTGCCAAATGTTAGGGTGGTAGGCATCTTTTTGAATGTAGGTTTCTGTCAATTCAGTCTACTTCTCTTCAAAGCTGAAAACACTGATATGCCAGGTAATTGATACCTCAGACATGTGCTGAAATTCAGCAGTCAGCAACAGCCTCAGGAACCTAGTCATGATTTATACTTAAGAAACCTGTGATCTCTCTAAGAAACTGTGACTTCATCCCCATCACCTGACTACCCTTCTTTGAAGTTTGAGATTCTCTCAATCTTAGAATTCTTCGTTTGCATTTTCTATGTTTCATCTACTTGACAGTTTAAACTTAATATATTGTGCTGACTTGAATAAATAAGCAACATATTTGTTTTTCTCTTCAATTTTAGTGCTGAAGGTATCTAATTTTATCCATTAGGTAAATCACCTTTACCTGTCATTAGTGATAAAAAGTTGAGTTTCAGAATTTTGAAGTTATAGAAAGTCTTGATTTAAGAAAGCACTTCAGTCTCTTTACTGGTTTTCTATAACCAAATATTGGGACTTTTGACTGTGTTAGAAAAAATGTAAAATGTATGTCCTACCTACTTTTCTCAAATAATCCACAAAGTGGCAGTGTGACTAAAGGTCAGATGAGTATTATATTCACATACATGATCTCTTTCTCCTTCATATAGTGCTGTGGGTCAGTTTTGCAAATAGATGAAAACTGTTCAGCACAGCTGTTAGGTGGGAGGACCAAGAATTCGGTCTCATTTTACCAAACTTTTTTTTTTTTCTCATGTCATTGCAAATTGCTCACCTCTGAGGAGCAAAAACAAAAATGTCTCCAATTATTTATTGGTATTCTTGCTCTCTGCTAATTTGTGTAAAATGTAGGAGTAGGGAAAAAAATTGGACTTAAAAAAATTTTTTATGGCTTTTAGCCACCTCTGGGTCGGGAGCGTACATTTGCTCTATAGGCTGTCATTTCCCACAGGTCAATTCCAAGGATAAGTCTGGAAGGTTATAGAAGTCAGGTGAACTCTGCATTTACTGGAAAGGTTTTAGAACAACAGGATCAGAATGGTGATATTAGAAAATCAGAGACAGTAAGAAAAATGTGTCAAATAACAATGCAAGAGAAGGACAGAACAGGTAACATGGAGTAAGGAGTGTGGCTAAGAAAGTCAAAATCAAGCTTGAAAAAAGTGCTGGCAATTCTCAAAGGTTGTTGAGGACATTAGGATTGTTTTTAGGTTCATAGTTTACAGATGCGCAGGGCTATTCATAGATACCGATGGGCAGTATCAACAATATTCTGTTGCAAAGTAGTGGGCTTTTTTTTCCTGCAAAATTTTACATATTGATTCCTATTGTCACTTTTCCAAAGTACTTTTTTTTTTTACCCAAAACATTTATAGCACACTTAATAATAATTACAAAAATGTGCTGAGAGTTTTGAATTCCGAGAATATTCAAAGACTATTCTGTGGTTATGGGTTTGCAGTAGGAACCAATGTAGTAGTGGTTCTTCACAGAAATACTTATTTTCCAGTTTCATTTACGTGACATGAGTCTGACATATTGCTCGTAATGTGACATTTATGCATCTATATTCCAGTAATTATTTATGCAGCCATCATTCTCTAAATTATTAAAGTTAAGTGTCTATACAAAGAATATGTGATGAAGAATTAAAATGGAAATAAATAATCAAAATTGATAGAAAATTTCATCTTTTTCTTTTACGGATGCTTCAAAAAAAATCAATAGTGGCCTTTCTGGAATAAAAGACCATTTCTGTATTTATCGCTGAACCTCCCTTTTAGTAACCTTTCTTCTGCAAGTTTTCATTTCTTTGAAGTATTTAACTGACACATCTCAAGGTAATTAATACTCTCCGCTCAAGTGATAAAAACTGCTAATAACTTCTTTCATTTCATCACCTGTATACCTACTAGGAAGGAGGGAGAGAATCCATGTGGGCCTGAAAACCCATCTATTTATTTACAAAACCGAGTTTGCTCCTAAATAACTTGATGTTACTCTCTGGTGCCCTGTTTCCGATAGCAGTTCTGTACAAGGTCAAGATGTTTATGTTTTCTCTGAGCAGTTAGATTCTTATTAAAGTTGGCAAATACATAACGGCTTGTCTGGTTTTCTTTCTAGGATCCCCTGTTTCATCTGGAACCACACAGGTCAGAGAGAGGAAGGGGCAGGTGCCCTTTTGATCCCAGCTCGTCCTTCATCTCTACCTTAATCGGTAATTATTGTCGCCACAATCAGTTGGTCATCATATTGATTTTGAAACGTCAGTCCGATTCTTTTGGCATTTCTTAATATGTGTTGCCTTGTCATATTTATTTATTGGTTCTAAGAACGAGAATGTTAAATTTCAAACCATGCTAAATTGAGCCAATTTAACTCTAAAATAAGTGCAGCTGCTATAAAGTATGCGTGTCATTCTGAAAACACAAATTTCTACTTAATACCTGATATAAAACACCTTGCAGTGTGCCATTTATCGTGCAAAAAATGCAGTTATAGTAACACTTTATAAAAACATCGCCAGCTAGAGAAACTGAACTGTTTTAACATAAGTTAGTTACTTATATTTTACTGTCTGGTTTCCGGGGAGCCTAGATTCTCTTCTTGGTGTCTTTCTCTGTATCAGTAGAAAGTCATCTCAATTGAGAATTAATGTTATTTATCTAAACTCCTGTTAATCTAGAATATAAACTACAGAGGTTGACCAGTTTAAACTTTGTACTAGGGGCGCCTGGGTGGCTCAGTCGGTTAAGCGTCCGACTTCAGCTCAGGTCACGATCTCGCGGTCCGCGAGTTCGAGCCCCGCGTCGGGCTCTGGGCTGATGGCTCAGAGCCTGGATCCTGCTTCCGATTCTGTGTTTCCCTCTCTCTCTGCCCCTCCCCTGTTCTTGCTGTGTCTCTCTCTGTTTCAAAAATAAATAAACATTAAAAAAATTTTTTTAAATAAAAAAATAAAATAAAATAAACTTTGTACTAAATGTCCATATTGAAATAATAGAAAAAGCTGGCATGTCTGATCTAGATTTCCATTTGATTCCATTTAATTAGATGAGGTGCCTGAATACCTCACTTAAGAGACAGTGAAATTTTTCTTTCTTTTTATTTTTGTCTCTTTCTTCTTTTTCTTTTTCTCTTATATTCTTGGGGTTTAAAAATGGCACACTTGTTGGGTGCCTGGGTGTCTCAGTCAGTTAAGCATCCGGCTTCAGCTCAGGTCATGATCTCACGGTTTGTGGGTTAGAGCCCCGTGTTGGGCTCTGTGCTGACAGTTCAAAGCCTGGAGCCTGTGTCAGATTCTTTGTCTCCCTCTCTCTCTGCCCTCCCCCACTCATGCTGTCTCTCTCTCTCTGTCTCAAAAATAAACATTAAAAAAAAATTTTAAATAGCCCACTTGTCAAACTACTCCAGCACTGTGAAGATACAATGGAGGAGTTTCCGAGTGTAAAATTGAAGAGAGCTATCCCTGACATTTAACTGGGTGCCATTAGAAATCTGTTTCCCCCCCCCCCCAGTGTTGTGAGGTTCTGTTACAGGTATGGCACAGACGTACAAATTTCTGTTATTACACGTGCACTGCTTAGAGTTGTATGCTGTTATTAGGTGATCCTGTTTGCAGAAAATGGGAAAGTGTAAAATAACATGTAGGGACATCAGATTCAAACTAAAGGGTTAAGACTTAAAACTCCCCACTGAGAAATAATCGAAATACCGTATCATTGATTTTGTGTTAATAAAGATATTCCTGTGTATTCTAAGAACTTTATAGTCCCTGAACTTATTCCAGACAGTTGATTTTGATGGGCCTTGGATCCCAATCCCACTCTCTGTGCTTCCCCAGCCCAGTCACGGTACTTAAGTCCAAGCAAGCAGAGCTTTGTTGATACATACAGTTGACCCTTGAACAACATAGGTTTGAACTTAATAGGTCCAGGTGTATGCAGATTTTTAAAAAATAAATACAGTACAGTTCTGAGATGAGATTTCACATAGTAATGAAGTTCTTCAGAAGGTTGAATAAAGATATGTAATATTCTTAAAGAATATAAAATTTTAAAGAAAAATAGTATTTTAAGGTAGCTGTGTTCCTCTGCTAACCTATTTGTGTGTGTGTGTGTGTGTGTGTGTGTGTGTGTGTATGAACAAGATATGAGGAAAGGAGAATTTAAATATTAAAATAAGATTGCTAAGTAAGTTTAAACTTTAGTAAGAATCAAAATTTGGGGGGGGGGTGATACTTTTGATGAATGCCAGATCCATAAATGTTAGAAATGGCAGCGTATGAATTAAAATACATGTATTTGTTAAACAGTTTTTGTTTCTAATGCTTTCAGTGCTTTGTGGGGGACAAGTTCATAGATTGAAAATTGGAATATGGGGGCGCCTGGGTGGCGTAGTCGGTTAAGCGTCCGACTTCAGCCAGGTCACGATCTCGCGGTCCGTGAGTTCGAGCCCCGCGTCAGGCTCTGGGCTGATGGCTCGGAGCCTGGAGCCTGTTTCTGATTCTGTGTCTCCCTCTCTCTCTGCCCCTCCCCCGTTCATGCTCTGTCTCTCTCTGTCCCAAAAATAAATAAAAACGTTGAAAAAAAAAAAAAGAAAATTGGAATATGTTTGGAATAGATTTTCTTATTCCTTTTTCTGTACATCTTGCACAGAATGAGACTTCTATAAATATTCACTGAATAGAGTCAATATCCTTCAACAAACAAACAAATTTTGGAATGTTCATAAGAATGTTATAAATGATATTGAAAGTTGAAAATTACAGAGTGAACACTACATCTGTAGAGAAATCCCAAGAAGGTTAGAACTCCATTTATTTTTAACATTTCATTTAAAAGGTTGAAATACTTTATTCAGTCACCCTGCCACTCACCACTAAGCCTCCCTGGAGCTTATTTATGCATGAAACCAGGAACTTAAAACTGAATTTTTTAAGAGGGGAAATATTACTGGAGGGACATTTCCAAGTGAGTTTCATTGAACTTCCAAATCAAATTACACTGTGCCGAAATGTGAAGTGCTTGCCATCTGGGTGGCTGTTTCGCTTATTCAGAAGAGAAATCAAATCCTAAGAGCCCTCCAAACCAAACACAAAAGTTAGAGGAATAATCCCTCCAAAGAGAAGAAATAAAAATATAATTCTTGACATTTATCCACTAGCTTTCATCCCCAAGTACCTCTGAAAGATCACTCACTCACTGTAGATATGAAGCAGCCCCTGAGATAGAAACCTGATAACCTGTGTGAGCCAGCAACTCTAAAAGAGAGGAAGTAGAAGTAATTCACCCAATTGAAAACACAGCAAGAATTTGGGCTGGAAAAATGGAGCTACCTGAGTTGGAGTTTGGCAAGCTTGATGTAACTTACTGACAGGGAAAGAATGCGTTAATGTGGTATTTTATGGCCACACGTGTTCTCTGTTGATGGGTTAGGACAAGACTTCAGCAAAATGATGACCATCTTTAGGCCATGATACTTCTTCGTTTCCTTGTTAATTATAGGTCGCGCTACCTGTTTAGGGCCTGCTCACCTTAAGATGTGCTGTCATGATAAGGAATTCAAATTTGTAACAATACTCATAAAACTAACAAGGCCCCCAAAGGGAAAAAAAATGTGCTGGCAAATCAAAGAACGTCTTTAATTTCTCAACTTTATATACAGTTTTCGTTTCAGTCACTTAAATTCAGTTAGCTGAAGATCACATAAAGTAAAATCTTATGGAAAAACTAAAGAAAGAGTATTTGCTAGGTAAAAGATAAGTTGATGACCATGTTTTATAATCTGATGTAGAAATGAAATGCTGTATCGTGCAGTGATTCCATGTGAAACAGGTTTTTAGGAGTAAAGCAAGCTATGTTCTCTATGTTCAGAAATCATTTGATATCAAATCTTATATTAATTAGGTTGCTCTTCAAATGCCACTTGGTATTAATATGTTATCTTGGTAGCATATAAATTCATATTGCAGGTGCAAAATTTCTACATGTTTAGCCACATTTCCTGCCCCCCCCCCCGTGATTAGTAATACTGTATTTTAAATGGTCTTAAGTAACTGTGTGAAGAATATAAGACATCACACCCTGATTTTAAAAACACTTTATTGAAACAATGAATTATTTAGTAAAATAAATTGCTACATTACTTGCCTCTACCTTTCATCCAAAGATACTTAGTACTTACCTTGCTACCAAATAAAAAATCAAGGTTCTTGGGGCACCTGGGTGGCTCATTCGGTTAAGCGTCCAACTTTTGACTTCAGCTCAGGTCATGATTTCACATTTCACGGGTTCAATCCCCACATCAAGCTCTGCTCTCACAGTGTGGAGCCTGCTTGGGAATCTCTCTCTCTTCCTCTCTCTGTGCCCCTCCCCTGCTCTCTTTGTCTCTCTCTCAAAATAAATAACCCAAAAAATGCAAGAAATCTTTTATGTCATATATCATTTTGGCCCAGAAGGAAAATACTGGCTGACTCTTTTTCATCACCTGTGTTGGGTGTAATATTGCAATACTCTTAATAAGTTGATAACACCTTCAGCAACTGCAGGATTTTCCTTATATTTTGCCCTCTCAGTTCTGTTGCCATTTTTTTAACATTTCATTCTGACTCAGATTTGTATCACTAGTCACAGGTGCCATTTAATATTTACCATACCTGATGCGACTAAAGTATGCTAACATGCATGTTACTAACATTTGGAGGGTATCATTCTAATTTGTCATGTACTTTTTCCTTGCTTTCAAAGTGTTCACTTTGTTGTTAGGATATTTTTAGAATATTTCTGAAATTAAAGACTGACTAAATTTTATTTCAACAAATAACCGTGAATAAGATATTTTACTCACTGAAATTTTCTTTCTGTGCTTTTTTTTTTTTTTTGGTCCTATATTACCTTTTTCAGCAAATAAATTTAAAAAGTTTATAGCCACTGAAATTTTCTTCCTGCACTTTTATTCATAATAATGAGATCTTTGTGAATATATTTCCTCATTGTATATTCTGTGAATTGGAGGTCAGTGCTGATTGAATGAAAGGAGGTTGGAATATATGCATGGGGAAATTTAAGTGATTATTTCAAGCTCTTAATAGCATGAAAAAAATTTTTTTCAACGTTTATTTATTTTTGGGACAGAGAGAGACAGAGCATGAACGGGGGAGGGGCAGAGAGAGAGGGAGACACAGAATCGGAAACAGGCTCCAGGCTCTGAGCCATCAGC